CTGGGGCTCGTTCCTGCCGAACCGCGCTGCCGGGCAAGGAAAGCGAGCCCGTTCGGCAAAGCCGGAGCAAAACCCACCCCCGGCCAGGCAACCGCTCAGAAACGCCCACCCCAGAGGTCTACGGTTTCTGCCCTCAAACCATTCCAGTTTAAAAACTCTGCCTACGGCAGTCCTGGGAACAGCGGCCGCGGCAAAGCTCCTGTCCGCGTCCAGCTGCAGGGAAACCGCGTCGCCCTTGCAAGACTTTCCCTTCAGCGTCTCACGCAATCCCCCGTTCTCCGCCAGAAGGAAATTACATAAACTGTACCTGGAAAGGAAGAGTTTGCAGGCCAAAAAACAGTTTTTTCTGTTTCCTCTCCCTTTTCTTGGTTACTTTCCTTCTGCCTCTGCCAGTGAGCAGGGTCAGAGCCCTTCACAGCTTCTTTCAATATTGCAATCACCAGCTCGCAGCAAAGAGAAACTGGAAATACCCTCCCTCAATGCCAAGCATTTACATGCAAAAATACATTCACGCTTTAATTGCTAAAATATTTGCACCGAGACAGCCCCTATCCTTTCCAGAGCTGTAGGGAGATCTTGACATCTTTATGTTTTTTATTCATTGTATTTTGCACAGTTTTGAATGAGACAAAAATTTCAACCGCAGCGTTTTTCTTCAAGTACGTACCGAACGGGCTGCACCGAAGGCAGGGCTGACCCTTGTTTCCTTGGTCCTCCCGCGGGTACCAGGATATGGGCTTGCAGAGGGCACAGCCCGCTTCGGCGGGCTCCTCGGCGCGCCAAATCCAACTGATGCAAACACCAGCGCTTACAGATTTACTCAGGTATTTAAAAGCATTTCCTGGACTATGTTCTTCAAGGACTACACCCTGATCCTGTGGTCGGGCCTATGTGTTGGACTTCTCCGCAGGAAAAAAACCACCTTCAGTGCGCAAGAGTGGGCCAAACCGGTCAGCTAACGAACGCGCAAAGTGATAACCAGCCATGAACTGTACATTTACGTCAAATTCTATTTTTAATACGCAAGGAAATAACTGCAATAAATACCAGAATTTATTTTTAAGTGGTTATTTCAAAATCATATGTAAAAAAGCATAGATACATGCACGTTGGTATGTACTTTTTCACTGCCAGAACAGCAGATAATTCATAAACTTTACAGCAAGTTAATTGCTCACAGTGTGCGTGAGTCAGGAAGGGAGCATAAAGGCAGATTTGTGCAACAGAGAGCAAAAATTAATCCTGAAAATTGCGCACAGCGGGAACTCTCACCCATCAGCCGGATCCGGGGCCGTGGTACCAGTGAGTCAATTTGCCCGCCAAGAGGAGGAAGCATCCTACCTAGGTCATGGAAAGAAAAACGGAAGCCTTGCCATATCCTAGTAGTGGTAATTA